GGAAATACAAACTTTACATCTCTTAGATCGTTAGATTAATCAATCCACAATGGTATTGTCGCACAACCGCCGAGGAAATCCCATTGTCGCGTCCTTTTCGAACGAACGAATGATAGCTCCGGATACGAGGAAGAGGCTACTGTTGATCAAAGCTCTGTTATCTCCAGCCCTACTAGCAGCATGCATTCGTCAATGAGATATACCGGTAACGGAGTCTAGCCAGCAAAGCCAAACCTGAGCGTGTTGGCATTGTTGCCACTGTCGCCCATGTAACTATACGGCAGCCGGCTACGATTGCTGGTTTGGCAATATTCCGTTGTACATGTATTCGTCATAAGGATTCAATGCAAGATACCGGCAATGGAGTGTAGCCAGCAAAGCGGAACCTGAGTATGTTCGGTACTGTTGACACTGTCGCCGATGTAACTGTACGGTAGCCGGCTACAATGGCTGGATTAACAATATTCGGTTTTGTGCATGTATTCGTCATAAGGATCCAATACGAGGTAGCCGAGTGCAGCGAGCAAAGCCGAACCTGAGTGTGTTCGGTACTGTTGCCACTGTCACCGATCGATGAACTCTACGGTAGCTAGCTAGCTACATTGGCTGGATTGACAACATTCGGTTGTACATGTATTCGTCATAAGGATCCAATTCGAGGTACCAGGTGCCAGTAACGGAGCGTAGCGAGCATAGCCGAAGCTGAGTTTGTTCGGTACTGTTGCCGATGTACCAGTAACGGAGCGTAGCGAGCAAGACCAAAGCTGAGTTTGTTTGGTACTGTTGCCGATGTAACTATATGGTAGCTAGCTACAATGGCTGGATTGACAATATTCGGTTGTACATGATGTTTTCGTCATAAGGATCCAATTCGAGGTACCAGGTACCAGTAACGGAGCGTAGCGAGCATAGCCGAAGCTGAGTGTGTTCGGTACTGTTGCCACTGTCGCCGATGAAACTTTGGGTAGCCGGCTATACAATGGCTGGATTGACAATATCCGGTTGTAACTGTTGGTTGAGGCAAAGGGATACAGGAGACGAGCGCTGTAAAACCCGAATGCTGCTTAGCTTAGTTTTATCAGCGGGGGTTAGAGTTCAGGTTACTACCCGTACAATCAACTCCCACGGTTTTCTCCCTCTCGACTTCCCTTCAAAATGTTGAAGGACCTCAACTTGTAGAACTAAGTAGAAAGTCTACGGCGACGAAATCAATTCCTGTGTCATGAAAATGATGAGCTCGTGATTCAGAATGATCCTTAAGTAAATTTGAGTCCAGTTGTCACAGAAATCGTCTCGCCATAGCATGAAAATTGCATGAAAATGTTTTTCTCATATCACAGAAATCAGTCGTGTTTCACGGGGACAATTGTTTTAGTAGCCGTAGTAAAGCCTCCAAAGGAAGGAGAAGACGGACTGCTCGAGATTCCATGCAATCCAAGTTTTGCTTCCGAGGTGTCAGGTGACGAAGGCTACTAGTAGGTTGGTCCGGACCAAATCGAGATTGCTCTTGGCGAACAATGGCGAAGAAGAAGAAGAAGAAGACAGTGATTGCCTCTGAGGAAAATACAGCAACACGTTGCGGCATACGAGGGAATTTGCGTAGGCATCTGAGCAAGATCGAAGGGAATGATCCATGATCGACATATAGCGTCGAATTGAAGCTTGAGGGGATTGTTCTGGCTGGTAGCTAGCTACAAGCTTGTACTGTACGACAATACCAGTATTGTAATTACATTTTAGTCCCTGAAGTAACCAAAACAAGAACGCAGCAGCTTTGATAATACAAAATTTTACGTACATACAATCCATCGACTCTGTCAACGCGCACCTATCCCACGCTACCGTGGGTGTTCCGAGTGGTTTCAATGTGGTTTCAGATCGTCAGCCACACGCTGATTAGAATGGTAGACGAAGAGGGTGCTCCTCCTTTATTTTTATTTTTTAATTTTTTGAACGAAGCCAATTTCTGTGCAGTTTCTGTGACACGGGGACAATTGTTCTAGTAGCCGTAGTAAAGTTTTTTTCAAAAAGTGTATTATGGACGTCGCAAGCTTGTAAATATTCTGGCGCAACCACCATGAGCCGCATCATTTTATGCCAATTGCCAATTGAGCAAAACGAAGTCGAAGTTTTCTTCCCCATTCCCAGTCTCTATTTTCCTTCCGCCAAGCAACACCATAGCATGCTCTCCGGACGAAGGGCGCTTGGCTTTCTCCGTCGTGGGGGTGGCAGTAGACCAGGCAGGTGTCGATGAAGAGGGCTGATCCTCGTCCGCCGGAAAATTTTCCAGCGTTTTCGTCTTCCGTTCCTCCTTCTTCGCTTTTACTATACCTGCCTGGTTCTCCCAGAGCTCTTTGATACGATTACGTTCTTCCTCGCAGCGACCGTCGTCGTCCAAAGGGACGAACTCTCCCTGACATGTTCGCGTGCTCCCAGTGAAACGCCAGTATCCGATACCTTCGAGAACATCAATCTTAGATTGAGTTGCCCTGAAAGGATCAGAAGTTATGAAGTTGCACACCATGCCGGGCCCGTATCGCTGCAGACACACCATCAATTGCCTTCCGAACTCGGATGGGTTGTCATCGTTCAAAAGTTTGTGGATCCATTGCTCGTCGTCCTTACTATTCGTACTATCCTTCGCCAAGCTATAAGCTGACTTCCCTCTGTCGCCTACCACGCGGTCGTAAAGCAACCCATCGTTATTGAGTGCTTTGTGTTGAGCAATCCACGCAATGTCGACAACTTCTTGGCCACCGAAGCCTTCATACCGACATTTCAAGGAAAACCAGACACCCCCGCAAAGCAAATATCAATTGCGACTCTGCTGGTACCGAAGAATAGCGTTGCCTTTGAATCCACAAACGAAACCCTTGAAACCCTCGCTTTTTGGATCAAAGAGAACCCGAGCCGTGTTCTGCAGGTTGGCAAAGGCGACGAAAGCACCCCGACCACAAAGAATTTTGTCGCTGGTTTCCGAGAAGGCGACGCGGCAAAGCCTTTCCAAGGCCTCTCCCTTGACACATTCGAGCATTGCTTTGACACGTTCAAGGCGGTCTTTATCTTGGTAGAAGCCACGGCCTTAGAGATACAAAAGACAACGGAACACCCTTTGATACCGAGGTCCAGGTTCCAGTCCGTGGACAAAAGGATCTAGCAGGATTTTGTCATCTTCCATCTTGGCTGTCGCAACATCAACATCCACAGGAAGGGTCGGAGAAAGGCATGCTTCTTCGTAACTTGCCAACTTGATGCGCGGCCCATCGGGTGTTTGAAAAACAAAGGAGTGCTTCTTGGCAGGGGGAGTCGAAATGACGCTGCATGGGGTAGTTGCCTGAGTGTCGAATGTGGAAGCAGCCTTGGTGCCCTCCGCGGACTCATTGTAGTACCCATTATTGTTACGGGTGGTGTCGATATTGATGCCGTCCATGGCGATGCAGTATTTGCAAGAGTGAGATTGATGGAACGCTGTGGCGTTGTGCTCCAAGTTACGTACCGGTACCCGCACGGGTTGTGAGTTGTGAGGCAACCAAAGACCAAAGCCGACTCACTCCTCGCCACACTGTCTTCCATACCGGTACCGGTACTGTACGACTGTACCTTTCCCGTAGAAACGAAACTGTGAACAGCCTCGCTGGGAGCCCAGATCATTAGAGTGAGGGTGAATGCACCGTAACTTGTTTAGAGTGAGGGTGAATTCCATCCTCTAACGTTAGAGATCAGGTTACTACAATCAACTCCCACGGTTTTCTCCTTACGGCACGGCACCGCTACAGAACGGCACGGTACTGGCACCGTGGCTTTTCCCCTACCGGTACACGTACCGGTACAATCGCAACAGATATGCATATCTCTCTCTACTGTATGCCCTGCCACCAAACATCATCTTTGCGGAAAGGGCGACTATTCACTTGCATGGGAGGCAGTAAGAGCTGTAACCAGAAAGACTGCTCATTGCAGCTTTACCAAACCACCAAACCCTTTGCAAGGCTTCAAGTGTAACATGCATCAAGCGAAAGCAACTGCAGTGTTAACCGGAGAACTACAGGGCAGAAAGCAGCAGCTCTACTTCATGTGCTCAAAAACGGCAACTGTTGAAAGGTTTTTGAAATACGTACTCGGCATCCTCCACATCCTGGGTGGCCAGCCAGCTACAGTCGTACTAGCTAGCTACAGTACGGTAGTACCTAAAACGACGTTGTGGTTGATAGCCTTCTGATGTGGTTTTGCCGGAGGCTTCTGTATACGTGCCGGGTGCCGGAGTAGTTGCAGTTCGATTTGGCTGGAGTCGAGTCCTCATCACAGTCATGTCCACGGACGTCGTAAACCACGTGGTGTGGTGAAATAATGAATCTAATTATACCTATTTGAATTAGAAAATTATCCCACAATATCAGTAGCTTGATACACAAAAGTACCCAGAATAGACAGTTGATCTCATATAATACAGATCGTCAACGACCATAAAAGAAGAGAACGCCGACGTATCTCTTGGACGGTGTTTTGTCTGTCTCAATGACATCATCTCGACTCAATGACATCACCTCGACTTGTTGGCGGACAACCTGACGACATCGGAACCAACTCTTAGACAACGTGACGACATCGGAACCAACATCTTAGAGGGCGCTTGCCGACAACCTTCCGACAACCCCCCGACGTCCAAAATTGTCAGTTTTTCTGGGGCAGTTGCCTATTTCGTCAGGTAGAAGAAGAAGGCCACACCTTGAAGGTCAACAGTGGTCATCACGTTGATCCCAAGTGGATACTCAGCACTGTACTAGATATTCAGGAATCGGAGCAATTTTTGGATTCTGATTCGCCAAATCTAAAAACTGATGCGTAGCGGAGGAGCAACGTGGTCGCACCACATCATAGTTTCGATGCTGGCTCCCACTCCCCAGCATCAGAGCCACCATTGGCAAGCCGCACGATTCCTCATTTTGCTGTTGTCCTCTGAGACAACACTTCGGCCAATCGAACATTAGATTGGATTTATCACTGACGACGCACAAGATCAACCCAACCGCCAGCCGATTCTCTGGGTACGACTCTTAAATCCGCGTTATGTCCTACATTAAATCTGCTTTGGACCCAACTGCCGCAGCTTCCGCCAGATGTCGTATCCGTGGAGGATTTGCAGAAAGGTTCTTTTGTTTTCCCCACCCCTTGAGCATGCTCGAGAGCCAAGCTTTCTCGTTGGATGTCCCTTCTGCTTGCGTAGCCGTGCAACGTCACACTCTGAGACGTAGCATTTCCAGGCTTGCTTTCGTTGTCTGAGTAACAACTTGTCATACGTTTCTCGGCGAAAGACAGACCATCAGATACCTTTCGATCCTCGAGCAAAGACACATCCAACACTCACAATCTATCATTTCATAAACTTGAAACGATACCACAACCAGTTTTTGCTATCCTCGATCCATCAAAACCTTTCACCATGTGCGCCACCGACAACGAAAACAAAGGCTCCGCCGCCCCTTCGGAAGACACTGTTTCCACCATGAAGAGTGCCTTCCAGACTATCCAGATGACAACCGCAGCATTGTTGATCACCACTATTGCTCTCCTCATTGCCACTTGCGTCCTCGCTGCCGACAAGTCTGGATCCCCATCCACCGAGGTGGCTGCTGTCGCCGCGACACAGACCGTCACTGAGACTGTCACTGTCGAAGTGCCCACTTGGCCCACTGTCAGGCCACCTGCCGGTGAAAACCCTTGCGCTGGAAAGAAGCCCGACCTTCCCAATATCCAGTGTGTCATTGATGCCGTGGAACAAACTGGTGAGCAGGCCGGAGCCAATGTTACCAAGGGATACAATGGTTTGAAGGAAACCGAAGCCACCCCCATCACCCAAAACTACTACGAAGTCGGTATCTGCCCCGTCAATGTCCATTGGCATCTTGGAGCCGAGCACTACTCCCTTGGAGAGTTCGATGAGACTGGTAAGTCCAGATTTTTGTTGGACGCGTTGAAGAAGTTCAGTTTTCGCCCAGATGTCGCAGCAGAGTGCCGGGCGAATATCAGGTGTTTCACTGGATTTCTCGGGCTTAAATAAATTTTAACCATTTTCCTGACACTTCGTTTCTCTGTAAATCCTTTCTTCTACGACCTTCAGGAACTGGTCCCACTGATATCTCTGGACGCCGCAAACTTGCTGGAAAGACTCGTCAAGGATTCCAGTGCAAGCACTACAACGAAAACGATGCCAAGTTCACCACTCCTTACGAATGGAAGCACTGCGACGCCACCATGGAAGTTGGACAGACATACGAAGTCCACTGGCCCCACTCTGCCGCTGGAGCTTGCGGAACCATCAACCAGTACCAAACTCCTTTCTACGATGGTGTCTTCTGCCGTGATGGTGTCCTCACTGACACTGCTGCCCAGATTGGTGTCCAAGGACAAGTCTTCACCATTGTCAACGACGAGGCTTACTACTACCCCGACCTCATGCGCGGTATGATTGTTGATGGAGAATTCGGAGCTGACATGGCCATGTACACTGGATCCACCACCGGAACTTCTCGTGACAACGAAATCTGCTCTCAGTACGCTCCCATCACTTGGCAAGTTGACCGCAAGTGCCACCTCATCTCCGCCTCTACCTTTGACAAGATGTGCGCTGACATGAAGGCCCAACGTGACGACATGAGCGATGACTTGTACGCCCACGGATCTCGCGAACTTGTTGCCGACCACCTTGCCGCCAACAACCACGCCAACCTCCGTGCCTAAATCAAAACGGTTGGACACAGGTTCAGCTAAGCATGACAGCATGTTTTTTGAGACTATCCCATGACGATTGCTTCGCCTGGATGGATATATGTGATTTGTACGAAAAAAACGAATTTGAAAATTGTGACAGTCGCCACTGAGGAAGTAGATTCCTCTTGGTGTTGTTTCTTAGTATCTAAATTAGACAGAACCCAGTAAACAAACAAACTCGTCTACCTACTTGTAGCTAGCACACTGCTGCACCCAACAATCAACCAGGCCAACCTGCTCCACACCAACAATCGAACATCAATACAGCCATGCGATCTTCCAACAACATCATACAATCATCCGGCATCGAAGATCTGTTGGCTCCCAACCAACCAATTGAGGGGACAGGGAGCGATGCTATCGGTACAAGATCTGATGGTCCACTCCCAGCCAAGCAATACTTTGAATACGACCATCAGATAACGCATACGGAAAGCAAGAGGCGTCGAAGGTGGCATGGCTCCCAACCCATTGAGCTACGCAGGGGCAGGTATGATATCGGTACAAGATCTTGGATGGTCCACTCCCAGCAAATACTATCCATACAACCCAACCATCAGATAACGCAGACGGAAAGCAAGAGGCAGCGAAGGTGGCATGGCTCGCACCCCATTCTTGAGCTACGCAGGGGCAGGGATGCTATCGGTATAAGATCTTGGATGATCCACTCCCAGCCAAGTTGGCCTTGGCCATCCGACACAGCCTCCCTGAAGCAACAATCCACTCCTGAAAGAAAAAAAAGAAAAAGCCAGCTCATCAGGGGAGCTGGAGGTATCCAAGTTGGCCTATCTAGCTCCCAAGGTGGCGGCCTGCTACTAGCTAGCTCGCAAGCCATTTTAAGCCCCGCGACTGGGAGGGATCATGCAAGCCACTTAACCAAGACACCCAACACCGAACAGGAAGCCAGGGATGCTGCCTACACAAGTTGCGCGGCACGCACACAGCAATGCATGCTGCATGAATTTTGTACCTCAAGGATGCACCACTGCTATTGTATCATGTGCCACTGGCATAAAAGGAAAACCGGCCTATTCGCTCTCTAAGTCTGGCTGTGGCTGGGGCACCTTCGATCGCCGTGTTTTCAAACAAATTGACATCTGCCAAGCTGATAGAAGCTAAAAGCTCCTGGCAAAGATAGCACAGCTGTAACCTGGTCAAGGAACGCGTCTTCCATGCTTTCTTCGATCCACATTGTAATTTTAAAATTGCTTAGGACTTCGAGTAGCTTTCGATTCCAATTGTTAGGACCAGTGGAGAGTAGTTTTAAGGTAGTGCCAGTTGCATATCTCCCTGGCAGATGGCTCATCAAGAAGCGGTCTTATCGCATGCTAAAAGCAGCTTATACTAGCCGACCCGGCAACAAAACACACCGCTACCTCGTCCTTGATGATCACAATCATGTGTGTTGGCCAGCTGGAAACAGTTTCCAGGCCTATTCTTCCTTTGTAATTTCTTTGCCTTTGGATCCTTTCTCGGAGAGAGATGTTGCTGCGGGTATGTTGTGTTGCCATTGTGCAGCCATTGCCGCATCATTCCTTCTCAAGGGTGTCGCAAAGGATATCTGAACAACGACTTGATGGACAGCTGATGATCATCTGATGGGTCAGCTGTCAGCCATCCAAAAAGAATTCAATCGAACCCTGAGATGTTCCAAGAGGTTTTGATAGATTTAGTTGATGTTTGCTGTTTGCTGATGTCAGAGTGCACTCATCAGCCATCACGCGGATGTCACTTAGGCAAAGAAGAAAAGCTTCAACAAACTGAGCAAGACGTGCAAACCTAAAGTTCAAGATCATCAATAAGTAATGATGCCTACGTGTCCCTTGCAACTTGCAATAATTCACCGAGACTTGTCTTTGAGATATCCATTCGACACCCGCTTTCCGGCCTACTGTGGCAGATTGTACAGTTCCAGGAGAAAGGACTTGGAAACATGTGTCCACGTAGGTCTCGGTCAGCCAGAAAGAAGTCGAAAGATCCCAGCATCAAAGATCATTGAAGCTCCACACTCCACACCCAGTCTCCTCACAATTTCGAACATCACATCCAACACCACTACCAGTTCCTAGCTCGAAAATCATGTCTTTGCGATCATCTATGAGAGTAGCTGCGGCTACTGTGGCTAGAGAGTTGCAGGATACCATATCTTCAATCGAGACTGTGGGTGAAGGAGTCCACGCCACGACGAAAACAACCACCATTACGATCACTACTACCAGCGTTACCCCCGATGATGTTACTGTCACAGGAGCCGATGAGGTATCGACTTGGGAAGATGGAACTTGGTTGGTAACCAAGATGGCTCTCAAAATCACTGGACTCGTGTTGATTGGACTCCTTGTAGTTCTAATCGGTGAATGGATTCGCCGCAAGCACTTCATCAGGGATCTCCTTCGCCAACGCGAAATTGAACGCTTGCGAGCAATCCAAGAGGAGAAAGAACGGCAGCAGAAGGTCACAGACAGCTTGAAGCTTGTTGAGTGGAAGAGCCTGAACTCCACTCAGTTCAGAGAGGCCATGAGCACGATGTCAACGACGGACCCTAGTGATGACAGCTCGGACTCAGACGAAGACGATTGTGCGTCTCATAGCAGCCATGATGAGAAGTGCGATCTCAAATCTCCTCCAGTGAAGCAAGCTGATTCTGAACTCTGTTCCGTTAGCGAGAAAAAATGCTGCGCAGAGACCGACCCCACAGCGGTCTCTGCCGTGCAGCAAACTGATGCAGGCAACATGCCGGAAGAAGATGAAGAAGAAGACTGTAACATTTGCCTAACTTCATTTGAAGAGAATGAGATGGTGGCCATGTCCAACAATCCTGATTGCAAACACGTTTTCCACAAGGACTGCATCGCTTCGTGGCTATTCAAGCATGATGGCTGTCCCGTCTGCCGAAGACCATACCTTGACGCCGAACAAGCGGAACAGGCTGAGCCAGTCAGTGACACCCAAAACGAAGAAGTGACAATGACTGCGTAGGATACGTCCTCCTATCATTCTTGAATGTTCCGTATATGGTGGTTTCTGAGTTTCTGTTTCGCTATAGCCGTGTACAATACAATACTCCTCCTCCGAGCAAAACTTCCTGCTTCCACCTCCAATAGATATGATTACGTAAACTTCTCAGAACGTCTCAAAACTAAACACAGTATACTAATAGCTTGAGCTAGCTATGGCACTGCACCGCAATGCGAGTGTCAGCGGTTTGACAGCCCAACGCTGCTGGCTGGCTACGCTACTCTAGTATGCTGTCGAGATTTACCAGATGTCGGATCAGTAGCTCGAGAGTACCAGTAGTGAACATATCTACGGAAGTACAGTACATGTACGACGACCGCGATGCCCATTTGGCGGAAGCTCGACTACTCGTATGCGATGCGAGCCCAGCTGCTTTGTTCTGTGCGGTCTGGTGTGTTGCCATACTGGTAGCAAGGCCCCACATTCGATGATGCTCCCAATTCTCATGCTATTTCTGTTTCTACTATTCTATATACTATCGACACCAGCTACGGCTGTACGAGTCCTCGAGTCCTCGAGTCCCATCGCACCAATGCATGGCTGCCATGCCAATGTCAAACTTGGGAAGGCGGTGGATGCGAGTCCAGGAAACCTTGCAATCGGGCCAAGTACAATATCAATATCAGTGATCCCACATCCTCCTTCAGGTGCGGTAGTTCTTGCGGTGGCTAAACACAATTGCCATTTTGCATTTTGCCTGGAAGAACTGTTACATTATTCACATGTATGGGAGTTACTATGGATTAGAGAGAGCTAAGAGGAGGATGGGGATCGACAGAGCTCGAAGGGAGGGCACGATGCAGGAACGCAAGGCAGGCAATCAAGTGCGCAAGCAGGGCAACATGGAAACCAAGGAAAGGGGTGAAGGCAGGAGGGTAGGGAGGAGCAAAGGAGCAAGACTAGCGGAAGAGATCGAGGGCACCGCAGTCATCCCAACGCTTCTAAACCTTGAGAGCTGGGTATTGCATTGCAACTGCCACTAAACTAAAGCAACCGATTTGAAAATGGATCAGATCAATCAGAATCGGGTGGCAGTCGAATAATTCTACCAATTGCTCAGCTTTGATGCAGTAGGGCTGGGGTGACTTTAATGCCTGACCACCGGCACCAGCAACCAAGACTTGAAGCTTTATGAAAGGAACGGTCGGCATTCCACATGGACTGCATGCTTTTTCTTTTCTTCATTGCTGAAGATAAGATTCCGTCACGTCCATTCGGCTCTCTCACAATTTGGCTTTGTTTCATGTGTTTATCTCGTTTTGCATCAAACGGGTGCACCCACCCCGCATCCATATCTTGTTTCCTCGCTGATAACAACAAGTTGAAACAAAGATATCAGGAACTAACTAATGTATTTGATCATGTGCTGACATGCGGCGGCAGCCTATGTCTGTAGCTTTGATGTGAATGTGGCAAATATTTCCCTCGTCTTTGTCATTGTCGAAGCCGTTGAAGTCACATTTAGTCGTGTCACTGATACATTCTTTTCGCATAAAAACTTGAAATCGGAGCTCACTTTTCAACTTGGTATCACCGATGGCTCATTCTTCTGCATCTTGCTCCAGTGTTAATCAGGCAAGGAAGGTCTCGGAGCTTTCGTCTTGGCTGGTACTGAAGGTAGGACAGGATGAGTGGCCCAAAACACGAAGAAGAGAGCGATGACGCCAATGTCAACAAGGAAAACGCTACGCCGACGAGTCCTAACTCCAATACGAAGCCACCCACCCCCGAGGTGCGCGTGAGGGTGGGAGGAGTTCTGTTTGTCCTGGACATGGACACCTTGCAGCAACTCAACAGTGAGTATTTGAACAGGAGAGTGGTCTTTAAGGATTCTGATGCTGCTCCTTCTATTCAGGAGTATCACCAAGGAAGCCCTCGGAAACTTGCTCAGGATGATGCCTCCCTCGCTGCAGTTGTAGTGGAAGAGGGTGATGCTGAATGTTTCTCATCTTTTCTTCACATGGCAAGGTTTGGAACACTCCCAACCTCAATCTTTGTTCCAGAGAAGCGTGACTTGCTGCTCAATCAGGCGGATGCCATCTGGGGGATCCGCCCCCAAGTCGAAGCGGCACTTGAGAAGGCGAGGAATGAGTTTCGTCAGTGTTGCAACTGTGCGGATGCCATCTATCGTTGCATGATGATGTCGCCGCACTCCACCTCGCCACCAGTGGCAGCACAGGCCAGGCTTCCATCTGCTGCACCTCCTGTTACGGCGTATGCCAGTGCCAAGTCGAACTACGCCGCGGTGCCTGCCGGAGAGTCTGTAGTGCATTTGGGCGGACCTCATCATAACTTTCGCCGTGATGATGGATCGCGACGTGTGTTCTGTTCTGCTTGCGGCCATCGCGACATTGACTGGCGCTACCATGTGGGAGACTACTACTCTTCTTGTCAAAAGTGCCAGAAGGAAATCCGCTACAAGCCTGACCTTGGTTGGTGCCACAAGTGCCGCCAATGCGATACGTGCCAAACATCGGAGTGCCCGGGTGTCCCCATCAAGCAAATGGAGGAACAAGTAGTCCCCTTCATTATAGCTAGTTTGAAGAACAACGAGAGCTCCCTCACCTTCTTCTAACCCTTGTCTTTCTTCTATTGCTCTGCTTTCGTCGGAGTGGAAGCAAGGAGGAATGATTGGCAACGCACCGTATGAACTATCAGGCCACTAGCTGGCGCCGGATGAAAAAGCGTGACAAAACTTTGCGGGGATCTATTACAATGATACCAGGAAAACAACACAAAAGAATGCAGTGGTCTTGTTTGGACGCATCACCTCACGATGCTGGACCCACTGTATGAGAAACGGGACATTTATTTTCACAAATGCCGACTAATACTACTACTCGGTCAGTAACAACTATAGAGCAACTCTAGATATGAACTTTGTTTCTTTAATTAATAGTCACTCTTAGAAAAGATACGGTAATTTTTCTGCGAGAAGGCTGCTTCCTACGCTCGATACCGGTAGCAGTTTATTGCCTCCATCGTACCGGTATCAATGTATTGTGCTTTTGCTTTGCAGTCGTGACTCTGCGGAATTGATTCTGTGGAGAACATTCCATGCTGTTGCAAGGTTCTAGACTAGTACCAGTGGATTGTCGTCTATGCTTTTGGAGGGAAAATTGGGACCCCTGAAAAGAGGCTGGCCAAGGAGATTCCACCGACCATGAGCAGAATGGTACCACCAAAATTCACTAGCATAACTGTTGCTGTCACAGCACCCGCTTTGGGCAGACCGGTCTTGCGTTGAATCCAATTGACGAAACGTTCAAAGTAGGGCCCGATCGCTACCGCTGCTGTGAATCGAAAAGGCCTCAAAAAGTTGGATAGCACGTAGAATCCTCCATAAACGGTCAAGAAATTTTTCCACTGTCCAGGATAGAGAGGGCTCATTCCAGTCTGCGATCGTAATCACAAAAAACGAAAAAGTTGTGAGACACGTACGTACGTGCATACCATGTTGGATGATTGATTTCTTATGCCAAAGAAGAAAATGCAGATTGTTGACTTACCCTTGCACCAAAAACATACCAAGAAGCAGCAACCAGTACCATAGAATTTACATTGCTGACCCACCCGTAAGAAAGAACCGTCGCAAGACCCATTTTGGCAAGCCTTTGACGGAATGTCAGACCATCATCTGCGTCGCTTCCTTTGAAATAAGAAGATAATCTCTGTCGGATTCCTGTAGTCTTCTTCTCCTGAGCCGTGATGGAATCTTCTGCCGGTTCCTCATTGAATCCCTCTGCAGGAGTACTGCTGGCTGAGAACATAATTGGTACGGATCGAGCTGACGTCGTTTTGCTAACCAATGGGGATTGCACCATCGTTCTCGTCGGTGCAAATTCTCTGACAGGAACACGTGTTGTTGCGTGTGGAGAAAAAGCACCACATGATCTTGAGGCCGAAAGAATGACAACCGCCTGAATGAGAGAGAAGATTTGCCTCATTGTCAAAATTTCTGTTGATCTTCCTGAATATCAGTGTTAATGAAGCTTCTGGTAAACTCCTGACTAGCTACATGTACTAGTAGTATTGGCACTTGCCTTTGTTTGGTATTGCCTTGTTTGCGTGGTTGGCTGCATGCACGCCGCCATGCTTGTTCTCGATCGTTGTTTTTGTTCTTCAACTTGGCGGCGTCAATGCATTCGTGACTCACGTCATTCATCGGTCCTGAACGACACGCCTGTCGGCTCATTTCTGGATCCCGGATCCGAACGCGTGCACGCCTTGACTCCCACACAAAAGCTCTTGGCGACGCGGTGCTCCCACAGAATGTTCTTTCGCAAATCGCAAATCGCTGCATCCAAGCAACATCGCCCATTCGCTGAGCTGCTGCCATTGACCGCCAATTTCCACACTTATTTCCACATTGGCACAAAACAACTGCAACTGGCTACATCATTGTATTGGCAACCCAACGTTTCTCTCGCTCCGCAAATAACGTCGTCGCATTGGAAGCATAGTGAAAGACCTCTGGACAATTGCAGAAAGAAAACATGAAGAAACAACCTCTGACTCTCTGTGGAAACAAGGCGGAGATTCCGACCGAAACGCATCTGGTCATTCTATGTCTAGACTACTTGATGGATCTAAGACGCCAGACTGATGCCGATGTCCTCAAGGGAAAGAAGCACCTCGACGCGGACTTTATCAGTTTGGCAGTGTTTGCTTTATCTCGCAGTGTTCTTCGACCAGATTATCTGTCGCTTGCCAACAAAAAGGACGAAAACATATTTGATCCCAAATGTACCACACATCACAAAATTCCACACATTTCAAAGATCAACGAAGAGATCATGACTCCATCAAAGTATTACCCCCGACCTTCTGATCCAAACTACCACGACCTCCATCCCACAAACCTGTATCGTTTCTACAGGCTGGATGGTCTAGCAGCAGGAGGCCCTCACAGCGGACCTTTGAAACTATCGGACCTGGTGGATGCTGGTTTGAAAAAGACCAACTCTCGCTGCCGTCTTGAAGCAGAAAAGGAAATTGTCAAGAGCAGTCAATTTGAGCTATACATTCAAAGTGTAACAAGCAGAGGTTACTTTCGCGATCCCACCAATTCGGGGAAACGAAGTGACCCCAAAGAAGAAGATGAGCGTCGCGCACGAAAAAATCAAGTGTACAAGGAAAAATATCGCAAGGCTATTGCCAAGTACCGAGAAAAGCTTGCGCTGAACATTGATCACTCTGCTTCTGCGGATCAGATGGAGATGCTTTCGCCACCGCACTCTCCTTCTATTCGCATGAGTTCGCCGAGAACGCCCACCAAGAGCTCATCTCGTCACAACAACAGGGCATTCAATTCGCCAACTCGTGAGGCTTTCAATTCGCCGGTCCGTGACTACCCGGTTCCTAGCGAAGTGCATATGTCCCCTAGAACTCATGTTACTTCATCAACCAGGAAATCCAAGACAGTTGGCAGAAGTACGGGAGCTACTAGTAGTACCCCAACTACTTCTGCCAATGCCGCTACTACCCCCCTGCAAGCTAAATCAACCAAGGTCGCAGCCACCACCAGCCCCGCCAAAGTCACGACCAACCACAACCGCGCCAAAGTCACGACCACCAACAACTCAACCAAAGGTACGACCACGACCAACTTAACCAAACCACAAAGGACACTTTCAATCTCAAAGGTGGAGCCCTCCCCACAGGAACCGAAATTACCAAAGACTTCCTCTTCTCCAGGCAGAGTCAAAAGGAATTGTTCAACATCTAGCATCAAACCGGCCGAGCCAGCGGTCAAAGCACCGAAACGATACGCTTCTTCGTCAAATATCATGAGCAAGACGAGTGGCGACTCTTGTTCGGTTGGAACTTCTTCAACAGGCACCAAGTCATCATCGGACTCACCGCGATCTACACTGGCGAAAATGGCAAGCAGTAGGAGAAGATCAAGAGTTCCATCCACAAGGATGCCTTCACAGGAGCCTCAGAAGAAGACCACACAAGATTCTAGTAACGAGGACCCACAGCAGAAGACGGCATTAGCAGCATCTCCCTCCGACAAACACCAGGAGGCCCCACGTGGACGCACCTCCAGGAGAAAGAGTGTTATCGGAAGGAGGGCGAGCCGCAGAGTGTCTGATGTGCAATCTTTCTCTCCCCAACCACCACCGCCTCCTCCGCAACAGCCCAATACTTTCTCTCCAGTCCAATCCTATGCGCCCACCAAACAGAAGCTGGAAGCCATGTTGTCCCCCGCCACCACAGGATCCAACGCAGAGAACCAACCTCCGCAAGCGAAGAAAATGGAGACGAAGCCACTTTCTCCTGAAATTGAAGTGAAGGTCAAGGCTTTTAGTCTCTATGAAATGAATCTAGCTTCTTCGGGGTCCAGTGGATTGGAAGCGAATGCTGGCTCCTTTGCCTCTACCTGCATAACGGTGATATCGCCCGGTATTCCATCGCCTGGGATTTCATCGCCTGGCACCCGCCGTCGCAAGAGCGAATACGAAAAGAAAATTGAAGAACAGAAACGTTGGTCGTGCCCCGAAACGTTGGCGCTTCCCGACATCGCAGCTTCGGCCGCCGAAAAGCCCAAAGGAAAGCTGCGACCAAAAAGTATCAACACAAGCAGGGAACAAGGAGTCGAAGACGACCATGATAGGACCCCCCAAAGGAAGGGAAGACCAAGTCCAAGTGATTTCGACAAAGGGCACAAAAGCCCGAAAAGCCCGATTGCTCGGGTCAGAAACGAGCAAGAGAAACAACGAAAGACAGAACAACTTAATAAACTGCGATATGGCACTGCCAATCCCATCAACAACAAAACAGATGAGGGCGTTGTTTCTCCAAGAAGACTAAAACTGGTAGGAAGCCAAGACGACACGAGCTGGATATCTGTCCCGCCACACCAAACATCGCCCAAGCCAAATCACGCAATGGAGAACACTCCGCAGGTACAAACCAGTCGAACACCAAATGACAAAACTCATTCGACGGTCAAGAAGAAGGCCGCAGTATTTCAGTCATCGGCAACGAACGCCGCCAGCCAGCGGTTTTCGTTCGACCGCACTGGTGGCAGAAACAACACTAACAACAAAGACGACAAAACGAGCAAAAGCCCCAGCACCAGAAGCCGCAAAAGCCCCATCCATAGACCCCGCAAAAGCCCCAACAACAGATCTGGAAAAATTCGGATGCCAGGCATCAGCTCACCCAAGGCAGACTTCAAGCTGGACCCATTTAAAATAACACCTCCTTCGTTCTTGGGAGGATCACGGTTGTTCAATGCGACAGCGACAAATGACTCGGAAACCTCAAAGCCTGGAAACAAACTAGCGTCCCCACGTGGAGTCTTGCAGAGCTCATCACCCCAGAACTTTGGGAAGCCCTCTTCCCTAAAGAGAGCTTGCTAGAATGAGAGAGCGATGCCTGGGTTTTCATTGAAGCAAGGAATTGCCTCTAGATGAAGCAGCTGGGCTGCGACGTCATGGGATGAGAGGCAGCTTGCCAAAGAACTGACTATAAGCTATCTTCTTCGCTGGCTGCTATTGTCTCGTACAACACATTTGCTTTCGCCCCTGTAACCAACACTCTCTGATCGGAGTTGGAAAAACTGCAGTGCGCACGGAAATCAAGTAAGCAAGTAAGTGCGGGACAGCAGACAATGAGCGGTCGCGTATTCATAAACATAATATTAGAAAAAAGTAATACAATGAACAAGCCATGTATTCATATGCCAAGCTGCTCAATCTACGCAAGTTGCTGACTACGACGTACTGTATCTTGGAAGTGGAAGGGTAGAAGTAAAAAATAGACAAAAAAATGACAGGTGTTCAAAACCAGAGCTTGGCGAACCCTCCTACTAGACTACTGTACTGGACCTGTACCGGGGTGGCCTAGCTAGACTAGATAGATGGAGGCAGATTGCAAAGCCAAGCCATGCTTGCCATGATGCAAGCCTGGTGGATTCAGCCCGCAGGGAGCCACCAACCATCCGTGACATGACATTGTTCTGACAACCAGCTCGACTTCCTACCGGCGGCACGATGGTACCGGTGCCATGTGCGGACCAGGGCGATAACGTACGAACGTACACTAGCTAGCTACTAGCTAGTACGACTGTACTCGTACAGTAGTACCGTAGCTTGCTGTCTCGTGCTTGCTAGCAATTGGGACCCCGGAGTTTGTGAGGGCCGCAGCCCCACTTCTCGAGCTCGTGAGACACTAGTCGTGGAATAGCAATGCAAGATTTATAAAATCATTCATGGGATCTCTTTGACTACTAAATCCTTGGGTACCTTCGGGGAAACAATCTAAGTGAATTGTATCACTGGTCATCCGGGTTAATCCCAGGATAACTAGGTCAGCTCTAGGTCCCATAAATGCGACAGGCACTCGTGACCGTGTACCTGTGGTACCGAACCACCGGTATGCTGTGTGTCTCTCCGAGCTCTACCACCTGCCACCAACAGATCCCGGCTTTTTGTCCAGGTCTACAACGTGGTCGCCATTGCCAACAGAAAACCTTCCCTCATCATCTTCACTTCTTTCTTCGCTATCCCACTACTGGTTTTGTCCGGCTTCGACTATTGCCGTTTCATAATCCATCTCAACATTAGAAAACCAAACACCAACAGGATATCATGAGAAATTGTAGACAAGAGAGTTGCCAAGCGGTCTCGCCAGCAGCCGCCGAATTGGCAGCACTGCGACGATTGCCGGCCCATCAAGCCGAAGTCCATTTCCCTCCCGCTTGCCGTTCGCTGGTATTATCTCTGGCGGGCAACATGCGCTGTGCCGATTGTGACGGTCCTCGTCCCGAATGGGCCAGTGTCTCGTATGGGATTCTCTTGTGCGTCCAATGTGGCGGTCGGCATCGATCCTATGGGGTGCAGAGTTCCCGGGTCAAGTCGATCGACATGGATGCATGGTCGCACGATCAGATATTGGCCATGCTGGAAGGAGGGAACGACCAGTTGTGCCGCTTCTTTGATCGACATCAAATGACGGACACAGCCATGACCTGTCGACGCTACAAGACCAAGGCGGCTTTGTTTTATAGAACCAATTTGCAAAAGCATGTGCGAGATGTCGGGACTCAGAGCAAGGTTTATCCTGGACGTGAAGCCATTCGAAAAGCGATTAGTCGTCGAACTGAAAGCTCTTCGTCTTCCTCATCGTCGTCGGCACTGACGAGACAATCCAGCATGCAAACCATTCATCAACAAGGGATAGCGGCCAATTGATACCGGCTTCGAAAGAAAAGGCACGAAAGAAAAAGCGCAGACAGAAGGCAGAGCCTAGCTAGACTAGCCTCCTTTTGTCGGCGATTATTAGAGCTGTCCTTCGCGCCCAGGACAGGACCAACCATGGTCAGGCCAGCCGGAGACCGATGATAGCGGTTATTATCGCGTCAAGCAGTCGCAGTCCCAGATTGTTCCACCACCAACAGAACCATTATTTCATAACACATCAAGTAACAATTACATTAGAACGATGCTAATCTCATCTCTACGCGCCAAGTTTCGTTGCATACTCTTCTGTCTTCAGATAACAACAATTCATTCTAGCTAGCTAGTAGAAGGCTTCATCCTGCCGATTTTCGGCAGTCTGTCCCGTGCTCAGTTTTGGTTCCCCCAGCGCCATGGTGGGTGGATCAATGTCATTCATGTCTGTGCTGTACCAGCAAAAGCGGGAAGGCTTGATGTCATTCAGTGGGCCCGAAGGAATGGAATTCCTTGGTGTGAATCTACATGTGCGAATGCAGCTGCTGGGGGGCATTTGGAAATCGTGAAGTATGCCCATGAGAATGGTTGTCCATGGAGCGAAGCGACATGCCAAATGGCCATTTGGAATCCTAAAGTATGCCCATGAAAAGGGGCTGTCATGGAAACTCGGCTACCTGCACCAATGCTGCTGAGAATGGTCATTTGGACATCCTAAAGTATGCCCATGAAAATGGCTGTCCATGGAAAGCAGTGACATGTTGCAAAGCTGCTGAAAATGGTCATTTGGACATCCTAAGTATGGCCCATGACAATGGCTGTCCATGGGATGGACCACATGCAGCGCTGCTGCTCTAATGGGGCATTTGGAAATCCTGAAGTATGCCCATGAGAACGACTGTCCATGGGCCCATGCCTGAATGCAGCTACAAAAAACCATTTGGAATTCTGAAGTATGCCCATGAACAAGGCTGTCCTTGGGACAAACTCACATGCGTTGTGGCTGCTAAACATGGATATTTGGGGATTCTGAAATATGCCCATGAACAAGGCTGTCCATGGGATGAAGAAACGTGCTCTTATGCTGCTCAATACGGTCATTTGGAAACCTGAAATTGCCCATGCGATGGCTGTCCATGGGATGAAGATACATGCTGCTGTGCTGCACAATTTGGCCATTTGAGATCCTAAATATGCACATGAAAAGGTGTCCATGGATGAGACGACCACCACTCATGTTGCCATTAATGGTATGTGGAAATCATGAGGTATGCCACGAGAATGGCTGTACATGGAACACAGTGACATGTGCAAAGCTGCTGAAAATGGCATTTGGAATGCCTCAAATATGCCCATGAGAATGGTTGTCCATGGGATGAACACACATGCCGCTTTGCTGCACAAAATGGCCATTTGGAGATTCTGAAATATGCTTGTGAAAATGGATGTCCATGGATGAGAAAACCACCACTGGTGCTGCTCGAAACGATCATTTGGAAACCCTGAGGTATGCCCATGAAAACGATTGTCCATGGAATGAAAACACATGCGTGGATGCTGCTAAACGTGGATATTTGGGAATTCTGAATATGCCCATGAACAAGGCTGTCCATGGGAGAACAAACGTGCGCTTTATGCTGCTCGAAACGGTCAGTTGGAAACGCTGAAATATGATGCCCATGAGAATGGCTGTCCATGGGATGAAGATACAGCTGCTGTGCTTTGAGAGTAGCCATTTGGAATGCCTCAAATATGCCCATGAGAATGGCTGTCCATGGAGCGAAGACGCATGCACACATGCTGCTTTTAATGGCCATTTGGAATGCTCAAATATGCCACTGAGAAGGGTTGCCCGTGGACCCAAGATGCCTTGCTGGACACTCCACACTTCTTCATACAGGAATGCGTGAATGAAGCGCTGTTTTAGGAATGCTGATGTTTTGATTGGTAATGGTCGAATAGATGATGCTAGCTAGACATGATAGTTTTCGCTGCTACCCGTAGATAGCCCCCCCCCCCCCCAATTTTTCTTGGTCTCCTTTGGTCCTCTAGCTAGCTCAGCTAGCTGGTGCTACTTGGTTAGATCCAGAGTTGCAGCCAGTTGCTACACGTACCGGCCCGGGGGAAGCTGCAACCTGCCAGATAGATAAACAGCATCCGAAGAAACGGGAAGCAGTTGTACAGCTATCCCAAAGTTTGTACACGCGCCCTTGGCGGTGGTAGCTACGGGGGTACGGTACCCGGAACGTGGCGTTAGCACAGCGCGGCGGCTTGGAAACTTCGGTCTGGTTGATCGTGAGATGAGCATTCCATCTGCTGGCTAGTGCTGGAAAACTGAAGCCTTCTACTAGCTAGCTAGAATGAATTGTTGTTATCTGAAGACAGAAGAGTATGCAACGAAACTTGGCGCGTAGAGATGAGATTGCATCGTTCTTTAATGTACATTGTTACTTATGTCGTTGTGAAAATAATGGTGTCTGTTGGTTGGTCCTGTTGGGAACAATCTGGGACTGCGACTGCTTGACGCGATAATAACCGCTATCATCGGTCTCCGGCTGGCCTGACCATGGTTGGTCCTGTCCTGGGCGCGAAGGACAGCTCTAATAATCGCCGACAAAAGGAAGCTAGTCTAGCTAGGCTCTGCCTGCGCTTTATCTTTCGTGCCTTTTCTTTCGAAGCCGGTATCATTGGCCGCTATCCCTTGTTGATGAATGGTTTTGCTATGCTGGATTGTCTCGTCATGCCGACGTAGATGAGGAAGACGAAGACTTTCAGTTCGACGACTAATCGCTTTTCGAATGGCTTCACGTCCAGGATAAACCTTGCTCTGAGTCCCGACATCTCGCACATGCTTTTGCAAATTGGTTCTATAAAACAAAGCCGCCTTGGTCTTGTAGCGTCGACAGGTCATGGCTGTGTCCGTCATTTGATGTCGATCAAAGAAGCGGCACAACTGGTCGTTCCCTCCTTCCAGCATGGCCAATATCTGATCGTGCGACCATGCATCCATGTCGATCGACTTGACCCGGGAACTCTGCACCCCATAGGATCGATGCCGACTCGCCACAAAAAAAACCCTGCAAAATCAACATGGACGCACAAGAGAATCCCATACGAGACACTGGCCCATTCGGGACGAGGACCGTCACAATCGGCACAGCGCATGTTGCCCGCCAGAGATAATACCAGCGAACGGCAAGCGGGAGGGAAATGGACTTCGGCTTGATGGGCCGGCAATCGTCGCAGTGCTGCCAATTCGGCGGCTGCTGGCGAGACCGCTTGGCAACTCTCTTGTCTACAATTTCTCATGATATCCTGTTGGTGTTTGGTTTTCTAATGTTGAGATGGATTATGAAACGGCAATAGTCGAAGCCGGACAAAACCAGTAGTGGGATAGCGAAGAAAGAAGTGAAGATGATGAGGGAAGGTTTTCTGTTGGCAATGGCGACCACGTTGTAGACCTGGACAAAAAGCCGGGATCTGTTGGTGGCAGGTGGTAGAGCTCGGAGAGACACACAGCATACCGGTGGTTCGGTACCACACCACCCTACAGGTTACACCGGTACAACAGAATTGCCTGTCCGCATTTAGGGCCTAGGAACATATCC